ACGGAAGGAAGACCTTTCTCTGTCTCTCTGTCTACAACTCTACCTGTCAAATAAAACAAACAAACAAACAAACAAACAAAAAACTAGTAACAGAACACCATACATACTCTCTACAGTGAAGAAGTGGTAAGGGCACTAACCACTCAAGCCTCTGCCTTTAACTCAGCACTCAAAATGGCTTTTAATAAAGATAGGATGTTCATTCAATAAGCAACTATTAAAAGAAAGAAACCCCAGGAATTTTTTATAGGTAAAGCTTTAACAAATACTTTGAAACTACAAAATGTCCTCTTCAGAGGGTAAAGAGAAAGGAATAGTTTTCTAAATGGGACAACAATTCACAGAAGACTCTTAATGGCAGTATTATTCTATATGGGGTACTTGATGCCTTTAACATCATAATAATTCTGCTCCAGGTCACAATTAGCAGCCACAGGAAAATGCTCAGAGGAGACTTCCTAGGGTGGACGCTGTCTGAAAGGTGTACAGATATGCTGTGGTGTGATCTGAATTGTCATCCATCTAAGAAACCGAATTCTTCACTTGCGTTTGTACTGGAGCAACAAGCTCTGGGCGTCAGTACTGGTGCTAGTCTTCATGCAAAACTGCAGTCCCACAGGGCACCAAAAGGCTGGTCCTCTGCTAGTCCAGGGCAGAAGTTGGCTCCAGGTCCTGACAATACCGGGCCTTGGGCTCCCTCTGGAGGACACGAGGGCTGAAATTCAAATCCTCACTCTCCTGGGTAAGGGTAAAAGCCACTGGATCCCTGCGGTCTATATACTGCTCTCCAGAAAGTGAAACTAATACCAGCATGCTGCAGAGAACATGTTCCACTTCACCAATGAAATCATCCCACATTTCATTATTTTGTTTTCTTTCTCAAGTGATTTACTGAGTGTTTAATAAATCAATCTCTGTGTTCATTCATTCACAAAGCAATTGTACTTCAACGTCAATACATGTAGGCACTGTTCCAAGCATGGAGAAAACAGTGAACAGAACACTACATCCCTACCCTCAGAGGGTCATATTTTAGTAGGGGAAAAAACAAAAAAAGAGGATAAATAAGTAACATATACAGCTTTTCAGAAAGGGAAATGCTAGGGCCGGCACTGTGGCATAGTGGGTAAACCCTCAGCCTGCGGTACTGGCATCCATATGGGCGCTGTTTCGAGTTCCAGCTGCTCCACTTCTGATCCAGTTCTCTCTACAGCCTGGGAAAGCAGCAGAAGATAGCCCAAGTGCTAGGGCCCTGCACTGACATGGGAGGCCTAGAAGAAGCTTCAGGCTTGTGGCTTTGGATTGGCCCAGCTCCAGCCACTGTGGCCATTTGGGGAGTGAACCAGTAGATGGAAGACCTACCTGTCTGTCTGTCTCTCTCTCTCTCTACCTCTCTGTAACTCTGCCTTTCAAATAAATACATACTTTTTTTTAAAAAAATTTCAACATATTTGTAAAAAAAAAAGGGGGAAATGCTATGCAAAAAAAAATAAAACAAGAAAGTAGTAGGAATGGGGAGAGTTACAATTTGCAGTTAGGTGGACGGGAGCCTTTATGTATCCACATATGTAAAGATGAGTAAAGCTGTGTCGAGCAACTGGAAAGAGGTGAAGGAGGGATCACGCGGACACCTAGGGAAAGAGATTTCTGGGCAGAGGAAACAGTAAGGGCAAAGGTTCTGAGGTAGGAGCACAGATGTTGTGCTCTAGAAACTGCAAGAGAGGCAGAGGGGCTGAAAAGAATGAGCAGTGGGGAAAGAAACAGCAAAGGGGGTCAAGAAGGGGCAGAGGCAAACTGCAGAGGGTCTTGTGGATTTATTCTGAGGGGAGGGGTTGAGCAGAACCATGACATTACCTGATATAAATTTTATTAAGAGCCGATAAAGTGGAACAAACGTGGAAGGCAGGAGACCAGTCAGGCAAGGAGATGTTGTGAACGGCAGTTCACAAGAGTTTATGCTAATCATGTGACTGATCAGAACGTTTGTTCTACAGATGCTGGCCAAAGAATTGCAGGGACTGGGGCCAGTGTTGTGGCAATGGGTTGGGCCTCCACCTGCAATGCCAGCATCGCATATGAGCAGTGACTAGAGTCCTGCTGTTCTGCTTCTGATCCAGCTCCCTGCTGGTGTGCCTGGAGAGGCGCTGGAGGACAACCCAATTACTTGGGTCCCTCAGCCACATGGGAATCTTGGACAGAGTTCTGGGCCTGGCCCAGTCCCAGCAGTTGTAGCCATTTGGGGAGTGAACCAGCAGGTGGAAGATCTATCTCTGTCACACACACACACACACAAAAATCTATCTCTGTCTCTTCCTCTGTAACTTTGCCTTTCAAATAAATTTTTTAAAAAATAAAAAAAATTTTTTCAGGAGGAAGGAACTTAGAACCACTACCTTCAGTCAAGCTTCTTATCAAAGAAGTCTTCACCTAAGGGTGTCACATTGACTATGAGCACAGACCCTGTAAACCTATCTGACAATCTTCCCTAAAATCCACCGATTCCTCCTTTTCCATTAAGTCCTCCTACTAACTTGTAAATTGGGAAAAGCACTTTTGAGACTGAAGATATCAGCTCCCCCATCCCCCAACCACCCGGGAATCTGGCCTCCTGAATACATACATCTGTTCCCTTGTATGAACTCTTGTCTCTTGAATTGCCTGTCCAGCATGGAGCAGCCCTGGCTTAATTTCAACATTATCAAAAGGACATAGGGTCTGGCTGGCGCTGCGGCTCACTAGGCTAATCCTCCGCCTGCAGCGCTGGCACACCAGGTTCTAGTCCCAGTTGGGGCACTGGATTCTGTCCCAGTTGCCCCTCTTCCAGTCCAGCTCTCTGCTGTGGCCAGGGAGTGCAGTGGAGGATGGCCCAGGTCCTTGGGCCCTGCACCCACGTGGGAGACCAGGAGGAAGCACCTGGTTCCTGGCTTTGGATCAGTGCAGCGCGCCGGCCGTAGCAGCTACTTCAGGGGTGAACCAATGGAAAAGGAAGACCTTTCTCTCTGTCTCTCTCACTGTCTAACTCTGTCTGTCAAAAATAAATAAATAAATAAAAAGGACATAGGGTCTGAGAGAAAGAAAGCAGCAGATTATTGATTATTCCAAGATTTTTATGCTAAGCAACTGGAAGAAAGGACTTACCCTTAGAAGTATAAAACACTGAAGGAACAGGGAAGAGATCAGGATCTTAATTTTGGACAAGTTATGGTGGAATTACCTCTTACATGTTTTAATTGAGCTGTTGAATGGACAAATGGAAATCTGAGCCTGGGGCCTAGTGGTCAAGTCCAGGTTGGAGGTTCTAGGCCTCCCATGTCAGCCATGTGCCTCGATGGGCTCATCAGGGAGTGTACACAGAAAAGGGCAGAAGTCAAAGCAGCAGTCCAACTGCTTGTTGATTTCTTGAACTACAAAACCATCCTGGGCCCTGCTTTCCCACTGTTTACAAGGGTTCGTTCAACTGTTATTGAGAGAAACTAAGCAGATATAATAAATCCATTGGGATTACTTTTTACTGTTCAGACGGGTATAAGTCAAATTCCGGATTTCAGGTTTTTGATTAGAGATACTCAAACTATACAGAAAATCCCAAGGATGATTTAAAAATATAATAAACACAAAGGGAGTGGAGAGAAAAAAGTGGGAGTGAAGGAGGGAAGGAATCTACTAGAGTAAGTGAATTTAGCAAGGTCTCAGGAGAAAAATATCAACACAGGAAAACAAACTGTATCTTTATAAAGTACCAACAAGTAATTGGAAAATGAAATTTAAAAGCAATACTATTTCTAATACAATCAAAAATAAAACACACTGCAATAAATTTAACAAATGATGTGTAAGATGCTACATTGAAAATTAAAAATATTGCTGAGAGAAATTAAAGAAAATGTAGATTAATGGAGAGTTTATATCATGTTCACAGACTGGAAGACTCATTATTGTTATGAAATTCACTCTCTTCAAATAGACACATAGATTTCCCACAATCCCAGTCAAAATTCTAACAGGCATTTTTAAACAAACTGACAAAAAATCTGACAATAATTTATACTGCTGCAAGGATCAACAAACACATAAACTAAACAGGCAATGGCTCCTGGCTTCAGATCGGCACAGTTCCACCATTGTGGCCATCTGGGGAGTGAACCAGCGGGTGGAAGATTTCTCTCTGTCTGTAACTCTACCTCTTAAATAAATTAATTTAAAAAAAAGATCCTTATGTTAAAAATAAGTGTATTATACATAACAAGCTCAGTTATTAATTCTAAGCAAATTCTTTCTAAGATTAATATCACAAAATTATAATAAAGAGATTAAAATTTCTTTTTTATGTTTATTTAGTATAAAACAAAACTAGGTAGAGTCCTGATTAAATAACAGGTAAGACAATTTATTAATTTTTGAAGAAGAGGAAAATCGAGAATTTTGGTTATGCTATGGTTTAAATGTATCCCTCAAAATCTCCGGTGTTAGAAACATAAACCACAAATCCATATGTTAATGCTATTCGCAGGGGGCCTTTGGGAGGTAAGACAAGACAAGTCTTGTGGGTGGGGGCCCCTGTAAGACAAGAAGCAAGCTGAGCAGGGAGTTGGCTGTCTCTCACGTGATGCCCTCCAGGGCACTGCGATCCGACAGGAAGGCCCTCACCGGATGCTGAGCAGAAGCTGGGCCACGCTCCGGGACCCCCCAGCCTCCAGAACGGTTCTGCGTGGACCACCGTCTGTGGTATTCAGCTATCGCAACACAGGTAGTACACCCCTTCTGGGTTGGACATAATTTATTTTATGAAACATGCAAAGTCTGCACACATAAAAGGCACTGTCAGACAGAACTAGGAAACTTCTAGAAGAGTGCTGGTGACTGAAAGGATAAAATAATTCAACACTGGGATATTCTATCATTTTTAGGTATTTTATAATTTCTTTTACTCTGACCAATAGAACATATTTTTCATCATGTAATGATAACGAATAGCCTGAGCAGTCCAGGAGATGACTCACCCAGGGCTGGGACGAGCAGAGGGCGAAGATCAGCAGAAGTACTGTGTGTGTCATCTGACGGGGTGCAGTACCACCTAATAATCAGAGCAAGCAGAGAGGCAGGCAGGGAGGAGACGACTTTATAATTCCCAGTGAAAGCATACAGAGCTCTTGGAGGAAAGAAGAAAGCTGAATATCAAGCTAACAAAAAAACTGAGATGATGTTGCATTTCTACTGTTATAAAAAAAGGAAGAGTTGTCAATTTGTATTTTTAGGAGAATTCGAAAGAAAAGACACTACCAGAAAAAAAATCTGTTCCTCTTCAAATTCTTCCCCTCACAATGGCCATCTCCACCCTAAAATTAGAAACCAAGCTAGTAAGAACCAAGGATAAGAAGGCAAACATGTTCTGGTAAAATTTTTACTGTTTCAGTGTTAAATTATATGTAAACTACTAAATGATAAACATGCAAATCAGGCTAAAAGATTCACTTCAACACTTTTAAACAATCTTCACGACACAGCTGAGCACTGCTCCAGAATATTCTGTGTTAGATCCTAACCTGTGTCCCATGCTTACTGGATAAACTTAATGCTCAGAAATGGTTGGCACTCCCAGACAGTAAGACCTCACTTCATTACGTATTTAGAAACTTTTCTCTTATTATAAAGCTCTGAAACAAGGCTAAGAATAGTCAATGATCAAACATCATTGAAATAACAGGTGATCAAATAAAGTTATATGACTTAATATAAGCTGTAGTTTTATTAGGATGTAGCAATAAGGCAGTTTTTATAAATTAACGCTCAAATTAAGAATACATGAATAATTTGGCCGGCGCCAAGGCTCACTAGGCTAATCCTCCACCTTGCGGCGCCGGCACACTGGGTTCTAGTCCCGGTCGGGGTGCCGGATTCTGTCCCGGTTGCCCCCCTTCCAGGCCAGCTCTCTGCTGTGGCCAGGGAGTGCAGTGAAGGATGGCCCAAGTGCTTGGGCCCTGCACCCCATGGGAGACCAGGAGAAGCACCTGGCTCCTGCCTTAGGATCAGCGCAGTGCGCTGGCCGCAGTGCGCTGGCCGCAGCGCGCCGGCCGCAGCATGCCAGCCTTGCGGCCATTGGAGGGTGAACCAATGGCAAAGGAAGACCTTTCTCTCTGTCTCTCTCTCTCACTGTCCACTCTGCCTGTCAAAAAATAAAAAAAAAGAATACATGAATAATTTAAAAATTATATATTTGAAATCAAACTTAGGTGAATGTACACATAGCCACACAGATCTGGGATGTATCTGCAGAACTCTCTAGTCAGCATTCCTGCGCATGCAACATTAACAGAAAGGGTTTTTTAAACCATACAGTGATTCTGGGATTCCCTGAATTTTCAGCTGCCGCATTTTCTACTCTACATCTGGCAGCTTCCTCTTCCTTTCAGTTTGTGCATTTCCTGTATTCTAAAAAGTAAATAGAAACAGGACCTTAATTGAGGAAATGGTGAGTGTTTGCTAAGGAAATACAGCCAGAAATAAAAACACCTGAACTTTGTACCTGGGGCTTGTTTTATAACTTACAGTGAAACTATGTAATAAAGGTATTCCTCGTGATCATCGTCAAATAGAACTAAAGTGGCTGCATAGGGAGCCTTGTTCTCTTGCCTAAGTCACTCATTTACAGTAAAGTAAGGTAGGGTTTCTCTCTGGTTTTAGAGCCTAGTAAATGTATGTATACACTACTTCAACATATTTTTAAGACACCTGGAAGAGGTTCCTATACAGCTGGGAAGTGCTTGGATCTGATAAGGTAATTAAAATCACCGTATCAATGGCAGAGCCAAGAACAGAACACACAAGTTGTTACTCCCTATCTTATGTTTATAAGACATGTCACATTTTCTTGGGCTCTAAAATAAACTACAGACTCAAAATTTAGGACATTTTCTGAATTCTGACATTAATTTATTTTTTTCATTAATTTATTTTTTAATGTTTGTTTATTTTTATCTACTGGAAAGGCAAAGCAAGCAACAGAGACAGAGACACAGAGCAAGTAATCTTCCATGTGCTGCTTCACTCCTCAAATGCCCACCACAGCCAGGGCTGACCAGGACCCAAGAATTCCACTTGGGTCTCCCATGTGAGTGGTACGGGCCTGAGAATTTCAGCCATCATTTGCTGCCTCCCAGGAGACCTTAACAGGAAGCTGGCTGGAAGCAGAGGAACTGGAACTCAAATGGGCACTGTGATATGGGATGCAGGCATTGCAGGCAGTGGCTCAGTGCCTGCCCCTGAAACTAATTTATTAAAAGTGTTTGGGCTACCCTTACATGCAATTTGAATCACTTGTCAAAACTGGTTTTAATGGGCAATATAAATAAACCATAACCAACAGATGACTTCTGGTGATGTCTAATAACTACCTGTTTCAAGGTCTTTTTTTTTTTAAGTTCATCTTTCCAGGAGTTCTACATCATATGAGAATTATCTATTTACTTATCCTAGGAGTGCCACCCTGTCTCAGGAGTCCTTTCTTTTCTGCGTTAGGGTGTAATCTCAGTTCCTGGGGGCGCTCACAGGAAGCAGGTGGAGCACATGCAGCGCATTCCCATCCTCCCATCCCCAGGTTCCCAACTTACCCAGTCACTCAGTGAAGTGCACACGAGTAAGGCACCCAAGGTCAAAGTTTAAAGCCACCAGATAACTTTGTGAACTCTGTAACGTGGACTGTGGAGCTTTATCAAGTTCCAGGCATGGCCCTAAATGTCACAATTAAGTGTCTGATAACTCCCTTATCCAGATGCTTCAGAGACTGAGTGGCCTGATTTACAAAGCTTCTTTACATAGTTTTAGATCAGGTTTTATAGATTTTTAATTTACTAAGATCTCCCTAGTAAGTACACATGATTTGTCAGTAATAAAATGTAACTGATTTAATTTTTAAAAACAGAGACTATGCAGTCAGTACATCACACGCAGAGAAGACCTCACAAGCGTGGGACAGAAGCCGTCCAGGAGCAAGCTCCGACGCAGTCAGTACTTTCTGAGAGCACTAATCTGGATGCTGAACACGAGATTTCCAAATGAAATTCAAAATCTCTCCAGTGGGCCGATCGGGGACAATTCAACAAGATTACTGATGTGTCGCTGTGAAAGCAGGTACACAGCAGGGACAGACAGGGGAGTCAAGAGGAAACAAGAGAGGAAGAAGCCACACATGCGGACAAGCTTGTGGTGAGGACAGCCACGGTTCACAGCGCTTTCATTCTCCTTGGCGTGGCTCACCTGCCAGATGCCTGATGACACACACGACACAGACACGACCTTTCCTGGGACACAGGGGTCACCATCACACATTCAAAGGAGAGCTTGTATTCACTACCGCAGAAAGGAGCTTACAGAAAACGGTCGTAATGGGTTATTCTTGAAAATACAGGTATGTTTACAGAGTCCAAGGACAGCAAATTTTTCATATTTTGTCAACTTTAAAACAGTAATAACTAAATTTATGCAGAGTAAAAAATTCTAAACAACATTCCTACAAAAACTATTAAAAAAAAAGTTTTACCTCTTGCTTTTCTTGCTTATGGTCCATGTGAAGTAAAGTTTGTATTTTAGATGAATCTGTTCTCTTTGAATCTTTCTTCAGCATTTTTACCTGCTTAACTTTTGCAAAAATACATAAAACAATGATAATTTGTTATTCCTATCCTGAAATTTTACTTTCCTTTTCAAGAACTTCAAAACAAGATTATGATGTCCACTAAAGTCACTTTTTTTTTTTTTAACAAAGAAATCAGTCATGAGTTGTAATGGTAAATTATTCTCTCTGTAACTTTATAAAAAGTCTATCAAGTATTTAAAGAAAATACTGGGACAGACACTTGGTGCAGTGGTTAAGACGCTGCCTGGGAAGCCTGCGTCTCTTATCAGTGGAGCGCCTGGGCTCCAGCCCCAGCTTTGCTCCTCACTCCAGTTTCGTGCTAATGTGCACCCTGGAAGGCAGCAGGTGATGGCTCAGAGCCTTGGGCCTCTGCCATCCATGTGGGAGACCCAGACTGAGTTCCAGATCCCTGGACGTGGCCTGGCCCAGCCCTAGCTATTGTGGGCATTTTGGATGTGTGGATGTGGACCAGTGGATGGGAGATGTGGCTGTATTTGTCTCTCTGTCTCTCTCTGCCTTTCAAACAAATAAAACAAAGATTTTTGTAAAGAAGACATTAATTTTGAAAAATTCTAAGGGTAACTGTTCAGTGCATTAAATCATTCCTTGAGCAGTACAAGTACTGTATTCTTGCTATTATATTAACTTTTCACAAGGTGTCACTCTTCTTCAAAGAAATATTTACCTAAGGCCAAAAAAACAAGCTTGATTTTAAGATAAATCTTAGGTTTATAAATATTAACCTCCTAAATACCTGGATGCCAGAAGTACATATAACATTCCTGCTGTTCTGTGGGCAAATACTCATGGAAGAACACATAGGAAAGTGATTTACTCCAGATCATATGCTGAGCCAAATCCACCTTCCTTAATACTGTCATTCTAACACTTGAATAACATGAAGCAAACAAAAACCTCAGCCTTAAAGTGGTTTTAAACCCCCCTTTTAAAAATATTTCAAGTTTCACCCTTGTTTGAGTAAGGGGAGAAAATCTCATCCACTGAAAATATTTTTCTCAGCACTTCACTATTTTCTAGCTCCACCACACTATAGAATGTAAGTTACATTGTTTTTAAAAGTCTTGTAAATGATATCTGGATTCGTAAAACTATGAAAAATATCTGTACCTTCCATTCCTTTCATCTCCTTAGAGCGTATTGTGAAAGGCAGTTCTGGGAAATGGAATTCTTTTCTGTCAGATCTGGAAAAATTCAGCTTCCTTTTGTTTCCATTTGCCACCTGGCCACTTTGACCCTTACATACACTCTTCTCCACTTGGCTCTAAACAAACGAACAAGAGTCAGCCTGAAGAAACATGCAGAACTATTTGTAGAATAGTAAGTCTAGCCATTTGCATGATTGTATTATAGAAGAGAGGTATAACAATTTAATAACTAATAAATAAAACAGAATTTTTTTTTTTTTTGACAGGCAGAGTGGACAGTGAGAGAGAGAGACAGAGAGAAAGGTCTTCCTTTTGCCGTTGGTTCACCCTCCAATGGCCGCCGCGGCTGGTGCGCTGCGGCCGGCGCACCGCGCTGATCCGATGGCAGGAGCCAGGAGCCAGGTGCTTTTCCTGGTCTCCCATGGGGTGCAGGGCCCAAGCACCTGGGCCATCCTCCACTGCACTCCCTGGCCACAGCAGAGGGCTGGCCTGGAAGAGGGGCAACCGGGACAGAATCCGGCGCCCCGACCGGGACTAGAACCCGGTGTGCCGGCGCCGCTAGGCGGAGGATTAGCCTAGTGAGCCGCGGCACCGGCCCAAAACAGAATATTATTAAACATATAAACAGATCAAACTCCAATAGAAGCTTCACAAAATATTTTAGCATATTTAATATTCTGAGAATAAAAGCCTTCATCATGAGAGCGATAACCTTAACTTTTAATTAAAAAAAAAAAAAACTTTCGTTTGAAAGGCAGAGAGAGCAAGAGGAAGAAACCGACAGAGATCTCCCACCTGTTAATTCACTCCCTAAATATCCACAAAACCAGGCCTGGTTCAGGCTGCGGCCAGGAGCCAGGAACCCAGCAAGGATACAACTACTTGAGCTATCACCAGTGTCTTCCAGGATGTGCACTAGTAAAAAGGTGGAATCAGGAACAATTTTTTTGTTTTTGAAAGGCAGAGTGACTCAGGGAGAGGGAGAAGGAGAGAGAGAGACAGAGACAGAGAAGGATCTTCTGTATGTTGGTTTACTCTCCAAACACCTGCAAAAGGGTATGGCTGGGCCATGCCAAAGCCAGGAGCTAGAAACTCCACCTTGGGCCTCCCACGAGGTGGCAGGGGCCCAAGCCCTTGGGTCATCTGCTGCTGCTTTCCCAGGTGCCAGCAGCAGGGAGCTGGAAGGGAAGCAGAGGAGCTGGGACTCAAGCCAGTGGCAGCCAGCTGTACAACACCAGTCCCACCCTAACTTTCTTAATCAATCACCTGCTCTTAGATAGGTTTGTATTATTTTTTTCAAAGATTTATTTTATTTATTTTTAAGACAGAGTTACAGAGAGAGATGGAGGCCAGGAGGGAGGGAGAGAAAGGAAGAAGGAGAGAAAGAGAGAAAGAGAGAGAGAGAGAGAGAGAGAGATCAATCTTCCCCCAACTGGTTCATTCCCCAATGGCTGCAACGGCTGGAGCTGAGCTGATCTGAAGCCAGGAGCCAGGAGCTTCCGGGTCTCCCATGCTGGTGTAGGGGCCCAAGCACTTGGGCTATCCTCTGCTGCTTTCCCAGGCACAATAGCAGGGAGCTGGACCATAAGTGGGGGAGCTAGAATTCAAACTGGCATCCAAATGGGATGCCAGCATTGCATGACAGGGTTTTAACCCACTGCACCACAGCGTTGGCACCGGTTTGTATTATTTTTAACTAAAAATAAAGTTTTTGAAAGACAGAGAGACATGAGATAGAGAGCAAGCCCAGCTGGGAGCTGGGGACTCAATATGGGTCTCCCAAGTGGGTGACAAGAACCCAAGTAAGTACCCAAGTATCCAAGTACCCAAGTAAGCCATCACCTGCTACCTCCCAGAGTACACATTATCAGGATGCTGGAATCTGAAGCGGAGCTGGGACTCAAACTCAGGCACTGTGATAAGGGATGTAGGTGTCCCAAACATCCTAACTGCTACATGAAATGCCCTTCCTTCAATATTTTCCTATAAACAACAGATTCGATTTGAAATAAACTATTTTCCTATGTAAAAAACAGGGGAATGAACTACACTAATTATTTTTTCTGAGGAAAGTAAGTTGTGCTTATTTGCCATCTGCTTTTTATTTTTAGGATTATTTATTTATTTATTTATTTGAAAGTCAGAGTTACACAGAGAGAGAAGGAGAGGCAGAGAGGTCTTCCGTCATCTGCTGGTTCACTCCCCAATTGGCAGCAACAGCTGGATCTGCACCGATCTGAAGCCAGGAGCCAGAAGCTTCTTCCAGGTTTCCCATGCTGGTGCGGGTGCCCAAGGACTATGGGCCATCCTGTACTGCTTTCCCAGGCCATAGCAGAAAGCTGGATTGGAAGTGGAGCAAACCAGTACCCATATGGGATGCCGGCACTGCAGGCAGCGGCTTTACCTGCCATGCCACAGCACTGGTACCAGTGATCTGCTTTTAATCCATCTACTAAAATATTAAAAACATTTTTTGGAAGTGGAAACCCAAAAGTTCTTGTGTCTTTAAAAGATTTACTTATGTATTTATGTACACATGTATTTATTTATTGAAAAGTAGTATGAGAGAGAAAGACGGAGAGAGAGAGACAGAGAGATCTTCCATCCACTGGTTCATCCCCCAAATCTTGCAACAGCCAGGGCTGGGCTAGGCTGAAGCCAGGAGATCCAACTGAATCCCCTAAGCAGGAGGCAGGAACCCAAGCACTCGGCCCATCATCTCTTGCCTCCCAGGCTCATTAGCAGGAAGCTGGGTCAGAAGCAGAGGAGCCAGGACTCGAACTGGCACTGAAATCTGGGATACAGGTATTCCAAAGGCAGCTTAAGTCTCTGTGCCTACCTCCCAGTCCTCTTGTGACTTTTCAGGGTAGAAACCTTAACTTACTATACCCAAGTCACACATTAAAAAATACACAAATAAGATAAAGGATATTACCTAAAACTCTGAAAGCCATAAGGAAAAGATGGCCTATTTCCATCTCAGGAACTGAAACAAAAAGATATTCAAAGCATACTTTTTAAAGTGTTAGAGCAGCAAAGGTTGAGAAAAGGGAAGGGAGGTCACACTCAAGAGGCCACATCTGAGTGGCCAGCTTCTTGCCTTACTTGCACGGCACCTCCATCATCCTGCCTGCTGTCAGACACAGCTTGTCCAACATACTGTAAAGAAGTGCGTCTCCTTTTTGCTCTTTCAGCTAACCTGTTATTTAAAAACGAATGAGAAGTTATCAGAACTCCCCAGCAGTGCCACTGTTGTAGCTACAACAACAAGTTACAGCATGGAAATCTACTGTTTGAACACTGAGCACCGAAATGCAATGTCCAGCCTTCAAGTGCTCCAAGGAGGAAAGTGGGAACGTGGAGAGAACTACTACAAGGTTAACACCAGTGGAGACACCATGTTGTGGAGTGACTCCTGCTGGCTCCCTTCTGTATGTTCTGAAATTGCGTCTCTTAACCTCTGGGTTTCCCAGTTTATGAGCCTACTGTTCAAGACCAGTTTACCACCATGATTACTGGCATCATGGTTTTGGGGTCACCTCAATAATGGGCGATTGCGTTCTGCAGCCTGATATACCTTCTGACTGACACAGGCAAGTCCACTTGCCTACCTCTGCGACCTACAGCCCAAACCTGTCTGTCAGAATCTGCTTGGGCTAATGCAGAGTTTCCTTACCTAAATCCACAGCTGTCTCCCTAAACTGAAATGTGACCTTAACTCCTTGCTAGACAGATCCTCAGCAGGCATCACATTGCCCAGGAATAAGCAGACTCATGTTAGCAGTCTCTCAACTGTATGAGAGGCTGTATCTAAAACTGGCCCGATACACTGCTTTCCTACTAAAATACTTGAACTCGAAAAGCTACTGAACTAGAAAAAACTAATTTTTTTTTACTGTCCTTTCTCCATTGAGAGAATCTGCTTTGTAAAAAACAAAAATGAGGTCCCCCTTATTGTACCAAATGCTATGGTTTGGATACTGTTTTTTTTCCAAAGGTTCATGTGCTGGAATCTTGGTCTCTAGTGTTGACAACGTTTAGAGGTGGTAGAACCTGTAAGGGGTGAGGCCTTGTGGGAACTGATTAGGTCTTTAAGAATAACTCATGGTTTTTCTCTTGGGAGCACGTTTTCATTCTCTTTAGAAATACCCGGAGGGGCCAGCATCCCATGACTAGGTGCCGGTTCAAGTCCCGGCTGTGCTCCACTTTCGATCCAGCCCCCCGCTAATGCACCTGAGAAAGCAGTAGATGATGGATCAAGTACTTGGGCCCCTGTCACCCACGTGATAGACCTGGATGCAACTCCTGGCTCCTGGCCCAGCCCCAGCTGTTGTGACCACTGTCAGAGTGGATCAGCAGATTGAAGCTCTTTTTCTGTCCCTCTCTCTATGTCACTTTTTCAAATAAATAAATAATTTTCTAAGGATTTATTTTATTTATTTCAAAGGCGGTGTTACAGAGAGGCAGAGGCAGAGGCAGAGAGAGAGAGAGAGAGAGAGAGGTCTTCTATCCACTGGTTCACTCCCCAGATGGCTGCAATGGCCGGAGCTGCACCAATCCAAAGTCAGGAGCCAGGAGCTTCCCCTGGGTCTCCCACGCGGGTGCAGGGGCCCAACAATTCGGGCCATCTCCACTGCTTTCCCAGGCCATAGCAGAGAGCTGGATCGGAAGTGGAGCAGCTGGGACTTGATTCGGAGCCTATATGGGATGCCAGCACTGTAGGCAATGGCTTTACCCATTACGCCACAACACCAGCTCCAAGTAACTTTTTTTAAAAATAAAAAAAAGTACCAAGAAAGCAAGTTGTAGTTAACAACAATCTAAGGGAAGTCCCTTAGATCTGTGCTTCCTTGCTGGCACTTGTACCCCTTCTTCATGAAGTCGGTTCCATTTGCTTCTCTGCCGTATTGTGATGCAGCCAGAGGGCCCTTGCCAGGACACCAGTGCTACGCTGTTGGACCCTCCAGCTACCAGAACCATGGAGTCAGATAAATCTCTTTTCTTTTTAAAGTGCCCAGCCTCAGATTTTTGTTATAGCAACACAAAACAGACTAAGACATCAAGGCACACATAAGAACTTAGGAAATGGGGCTGGCAATATGGTGGAGCAGGTTAAGCCACAGCCTGAGATGCTGGCATCCCATATAGTTGCCGGTTCAAGTCCTGGCTACTCCACTTCCAATCCAGCTTCATGCTAATGGCCTGGGAAAGCAGTGGGGGACAACCCAAGTGTTTGGGCCCCTGTACCCCTGTGGGAGACTGGAACAGAATTATTGGCCCCTGGCTTCAGCCTTGCCCACTCCTGATTGTTACAGTCATTTAGGGAGTGGATGGAAGATCTCTCTGTCTCTCCCATTTTCTCTAACTCTTTCAAATAAGTCAATTAAAAAAAAAAAAAAAGAACTTAGGTCACATCACTTCATTTCTCTTCAAAAGGGAAGATAATTTCCTAAAGAGACTTTTTAAAAAAATAAATATGGTTTTTCCAAAAGACATTAGTGAAAAATTAAACATCTATATTACCAAGAAAAGTTAATTTCTTTTATAACATTCACAAGAAGTTCTCAGTAAATGATCTGTTACATGAATATAACTTCAACATATCTTTTTAAAATTTAGTTTACACACAGATACTATCCATGTGTTAAGTCACATTTTTGTTATTTTAAACTAAAACACCTGAGAAGCTACTCAGAAAGGGAGGTGGCTTACTTTAGTTTATAGGTTTGGAGACTCACAGTCCAAGGTCAACTATGCCTGTCAGCCGGACACCTGGTGGAGGCTGGTAGTGCCCGTGCAGAGGAAAATCAGACAGCCAGAAAGCAAAGACAGCAGCTATGCCCCCTCTCACTTCTGACAGTCAACCCTCGCAAGAGAACCACCTTCTAAGAGCACACCATATGACCTACAGGTCTTCTGCTGGGCCTGCCTCCTAGATGCCATAATTAGATCAAGTCTCCACGCTGAATCCATTACCCATTAACATTAATCCATTAACTATTAACACAGGACTGCAGGGACCAAGCCCCCATAATACAGGGACCTTTGCGGGACACCCAAACTGTTCTCAAACCATAGCAACCATTATGCAGGAACACTGCATTACTTAGGTCTCTGCTCTGTTAAAGCTCACCTTGGATTGGGGTGGGAGAGATTAGAGTTGAGATTTGCAGTCATCAAATTACCGCAGGTCGGATTGATGGGTGGCATTGTCATACAGCCTCCAGACTGCGCATCTTCTTTCATGCTGCTGGAATTAGTGCTGGAATTGACGGGGCTGGCTGGTCTGCTGCTTACAGGTCTGGTGTGCTCGGACACAGCGCGAGCATCTTCCGTTCCATCCTGTCGACAATGTTCCACTTCATACTCTGTCTTTTTCAGTTCTGAGATAGCTCCTTTTCCGCCTTTAACTTTAATAACTCTGACTTTGATCTCCTTGGGTTTTTTCTCTTTTTCCATTTCCTGGAACAGGTACATCCAAAATCTCATCCATCAGAACAGTTACTTTTTTCATTACAGAGCTAACTATAATATAGTTAAACAGGATGAAATAAAAATCAAAATCCTTACCTTTCCCCAAAAAGAACTACTTAGCAATGTATTGTTATATACTATTTTTCTTTCATCTTCCTTAAATTCATTTTCTTTACAATATGTTTTTGGCCTTATAAATGAGTTGACTCTTGCTTCTTGTAGTAACTTAGCTCTCAGTTCTGGTATGAATCTGTAAAACAAGCAGTATTAGCCAATGTTCTTTATTTAGACAGGCAGAAAACTATAATGCACATCAAAAGATGGCATAAGATTTACCTAATAAAATCTGATCACTGACCTCTTTCAAAATTTGATTTTGGAAATCTACTATATACAACTTCTACAAAATAGACTTACATGATATATTCCTATGAGTCAGAGGTCTAAGTAAAATTAAGGGGCCGGCACTGTGGCACAGTAAGCTAAGCTTCCTCCTGCAGTGCTGGCATTTCATATGGGCTTCAGTTCGTGTCATGGCTGCTCTTCTTCCAATCCAGCTCTCTGCTATGGCCTGGAAAAGCAGTAGAAGATGGCCCAACAGCTTGGGCCCCTGCACCCACGTAGCAGACCTGGAGGAAGCTCCTGGCTTCAGATTGGCCCAGTTCTGGCCGTTACAGCCATTTGGGGAATGAACCAGTGGATGGAACACCTTTCTCTCTGTCTCTCTCTCTGTAACTCTACCTTTCAAATAAATAAAGAAAAGAAAAAAACCCAGCATTTAAATAGGAGTAAAGTTAAAAAGTACTGATTGTTTATTTAATGCTATCTCTGGTCAGGATGACACTGAGATTGTAGCGTCTGTGTAATGAATGTCAGTGATTATTACCTTTATTATGTGAGTTTTCATCTGTGACACCTGTAAGTCTACCATATCATCCACCTACTCAATACTTGACAAAATAACTCAGTACATTTTTGTTAATCAAAAACTTCTGCTATGTACATGAACCTAAGGAGAAATTATCCTGCTACTAAAATTTCTTAATACAAAATGCAAAAAGACATTGGTCCAAAATACTTACTTTTCAATAAATCCATCTCTAGTAAAATACTCATGATGCAGAAGTTCAGGAGATGATATCCGCTCAGCAGGATCAATCTGTAAACAAGCCTAGAAAAGGTAAAGCAGTTTAACAAGTGAGATTTTAGCAGGGCTTTATATGACCAACAACTACACTTACTTGACAAATGAAAAATTAGTTACCAGAACTAAAAGTTTTTGAAATGATGGTGCTGGGCCTTTTTGGAATTTCTGACCATTTATTTTCCTAAGAAATTTGCACTTGCGAAGTATTATTATAGGTTAAATGTGCTATGACTCGGCTTAGCCAAAACAGAGGTCAGGGCCGGCGCCGCGGCACACTAGGCTAATTCTCCGCCTAGCGGCGCCGGCACACCAGGTTCTTGTCCCAGTTGAGGTGCCGGATTCTGTCCCGGTTGCCCCTCTTCCAGGCCAGCTCTCTGCTGTGGCCAGGGAGTGCAGTGGAGGATGGCCCAAGTGCTTGGGCCCTGCACCCCATGGGAGACCAGGAAAAGCACCTGGCTCCTGGCTCCTGCCATTGGATCAGCGCAGTGCGCCGGCCGCAGCACGCCGGCCGCAGCGGCCATTGGAGGGTGAACCAACGGCAAAGGAAGACCTTTCTCTCTGTCTCTCTCTCTCACTGTCCACTCTGCCTGTCAAAAACAAAAACAAAAACAAAAACAAAAACAAAACAAAACAAAAAAACAGAGGTCAGTCCTTTTCTGCAGGGATTAGCAGAAATTAATTACCTCATTTTGATTCTTTTATCAGTCATGTGAGGTAGATACTTCATGGATAGCCATTTGCATTTTACAAATCTGGCCTAATTTGTGATTAGTCAGATTAAAATTTTTTCTTAAAGATTTATTTAATGAAAGGCAGGGAGACAGAGAGAGGGAGAGGCAAAGAAGATCCTCCATCTGCTGGTTTGCTCTCCAAATAGCCCCAACAACCAGATCTGGGCCAGACCTAAGCCAGGAGCCTGGAACTCTATCCAGGTTTCCAACACGAGTTGCAAGAACTTAGGTACTTGGGACACCATATGCTGCCTTCCCAGGTGCATTAGAAGGAAGCTGGGTCAGAAGGGTTAAAATTCTAGTCCAGGGGTCCACACTGTGGCATAGCAGATAAAGCTACCACCTGCAGTGCTGGCATCCCATATGGGTGCTGTTTCCAGTTCTGGCTGCTCTACTTTCAATCCAGCTCTCTGCTATGGCCTGGGAAAACAGTAGAAGATGGCCCAAGACTTGGGGCCCCTGCAGCCATGTGGAAGACCCAGAAGAAGCTCCTGACTCTGGACTTCGGATTGGCCCAGCTCTGGTCGTTGCAGCCATCTGGGGAGTGAACCAGCAGATGGAAGACCTCTCACTCTGCCTCTGCCTCTCTGTAACTCTTTCAAATCAATAAATGAATCTTTAAAAATAAATAAATAAATAAAAATAAAATTCTATTATGGGGGCAGCACTGTGGCAGCACAAGTTAGCTGTTGCCTGTGACACCAGCATCCCACATTGGAGCACTGTTTCAAGTCCTGGTTATTCCTCGTCTAGAAAGTATCGGCAACACTTTTCATCTAGAAAGTAGTAACTTTCACACCAACATCTGTTGACAGTTTACTTAGGACCCTGGGCTAAGCACATTTCAGATATCATCTTTTTTTTTTTTTTTCAAGATCTATTTATTTGAAAGTCAGAGTTCCAGAGAGAAAGAGAGAGAGACAGAGAGAGAAGTATCTTCCACCTGCTGGTTCACTCCCCAGATGGCCACAATGGGCTGAGACAGGCCAAAGCAAGGAGCCAGGACCTTCATCCAGGTCTCCCACATGGGTGCAGGGGCCCAAATACTAGGAACATCCTCCACTGCTTTTCCCAGGTGCATAAGCAGGGAGCTGGATCAGAAGTGGAGCAACCAGGACATCAACGGATGCCCTATGGGATACCGGCATAGCGGGTGGTGGCTTTACCTGTCGTGCCACAATGCCAGCCCCAGATATTACCTTACTAAATCCTCCAGCTATAGAAAATAAGTACGGTTACTGTCACTTTATAGCCCAGTAAACTGAGAAACAGAGATTAAGCCACTTGTCCAAAGCTACACAGCTAATTAATGGCATACCCGAGTTTTTATTATAGTCTGTGTGACTCAGAGTCTATTCTTCAAGTACCTCAATGATACTTATTTTGAAATTCAGAGAACCACTATTTTTCAAGGGCTTTACATCAGAAGTAAATTACCTTAATTGCCTCTGTGAAAGGAAATTGGCTGGTTAAAGAAAAAGAAAAGCAGATTTGCTTTTCAAAGAAAATCCATTTTACACTTTGAATTTTGTACTAAAAGCGTTGATACATTTATTACTTAGTTTAAGTAAAATTTAAATTTTAAAATAACGAAAAAGGGCTTCATGGTTTCAACAATTCAAGGTAAATTTTGGCACTAGTTTATCTTCCAAAATTAAACACTGCAGCAGCCAGGGCCAGTGTTGTGGCGTAACGCCAGCATCCCTTATGGGCACCAGTTTGAGTCCTGGTTACTCCACTTCCGATCCAGCTCCCTGCTAATGGCCTGGAAAAGCACTGGAAGATGGCCCATATGCTTAGGCTCTTGCAACCATGTAGGAGACCCAGAAGAAGCTCCTGCCTACTGGCTTCAGATTGGCCCAGCTCTGGCCATTGTGGCCACTTGGGGAGTGTACCAGTAGATGAAAGTTCTCTCTGCCCCCTCCCACCTCTGTTTGTTTCTCTGCCTCTCAAATAAGTAAATCTTTAAAAAAAAAAAAAAAGAAGAAGAAGAAGAAGAGGATGACCCAAGTTACTTGGGCCCCTGCACCCACATGGGAGACTCAGATGAAACTCCTGGCTCCTGGCTTTGGTCTGGCCCTGGCCCAGCCCTAGCCGTTGAGGCCATTTAGGGATTGAACCAGCAGATGGAGGATCTCTCTCTCTCTCTCTGTAACTCTGCCTTTCAAATAAAATAAATCATAACAACAAAAATTGCAGTTGGCAATGGCTTGGAGAGAGATGGCTTAAGATACCAGAGTAGACAGATTCCCAATCTGGCCAGAATGATGTTAAAAGACAGGGATAAACATGGTATGTACTTGGAATTTGTCCAGTTTACCCTAATGACCATTAAAATTGGGATAAACTGAAAATAATGAACATACTTCAAGGGGCTTTCAGGTCTAATAGCCTATAATTTTTTTTAAAGATTTATTTATTTATTTGAAAGTCAGAGTTACAAAGAGAGAAGGAGAGGCAGAGAGAGAGAGAGAGGTCTTCCATCCACTGGTTTACTCCCCAGTTGGCCGCAACGGCTGGAGCTGTGCCAATCTGAAGCCAGGATCCAGGAGCTTCCTCCAGGTCTTCTGTGCGAACACAGGGGCCCAAGGACTTGGGCTATTGTCTACTGCTTTCCCAGGCCATAGCAGAGAGCTGGATCAGAAGTGGAGCAGCCGGACTTGAACTGGTGCCCATATGGGATGCCAGCACTGCAGGCAGTGGCTTTACTGGTGACACCACAGAGCCAGCACCAGTCTATAAATTTTAATTTCTCTGTATTACAGGCATAACTTTCAACAAATAATATTACTTTAGGAACCCTTTAAGAGTTTCATTATAACAATACTTAAAAACTATAGTATAATTTGTGCAAATTTCTCAGATGTTAAGTTCTTATTTCTTAACATACATGAACTATATCTGCCAGCAATCCATTAAGCTTTGGGTATTTTTTTCTTGCATTTCTGGTGTGTTGAACTTGAGGGAGGACCACGCCAGTAAAAATGGGATTCTTGGAAAAGATATTCTGCAAGTGAGGTGTTAAATTGCCTGAAAAGAGAAAAAAATACAAAACAAAACAAAAAAACACAGAAATTGGTCTACAGTCAAAACAATGAAATTGCTATGTGACAGGCAGTAAACTGCCGAGAACTGGGCGTGGGCAGGGGGATGCTGCTGTCCTAGCAGTCAAGATGCTAGTAAGACATGTGTGGCCCACACCAGAGCCTGGCTTTCACGCCCACCCCCAGCTCCTCATTCCAGCTGCCTGCTGAAGCAGACCCTGGGAGGCCGTGGTGATGGCTCAAGCAATTAGCTCTGCCACCCTCCACCCTCCTGGAAGACCTGGATTGAGTTCCTGGCTTCCAGTCAGGGACCCTTGTGGGCATTTGGGAAGTAAACCAATGGACTGGAGCCCTTTCTGTCTCTGCCCTCTGCCTCTCAAATAATTAAAAAAAAAAAAAAAAAAAAAAAAAAAAAAAGAACAAAAACTGGGAGCGGATCTTCAGCCTAACAAGTAAGTCTGCCCGCATGCTGCATCAGAATACCTGGGTTCAATGCTTGCCTCTGGCACCTGACTCTAGCTTCCTGCCAACGCAGACCATGAGAGAAGCAAGGCTGACTCAAGGAGCTGGATTCCCACCACCCACTTGGGAGACCTGGGTTGCATTTCTGGCCCCTGATTCTGCTCCTGCCCTTTGCTTCTGCAGGCATCTGGGAAGTGAACCAACATTCACTCATTCATTCTCTCTCTCTGCCTCTCAATTCACCTTTAAAAAAATGAAAAATTACTAAAAATGGAGACAAGGAAGAACAATTGTGTGTTTTAATTTTTAAAAGTTGAACAAGTAACTATATGAATATATCATGAAACAATTGAGGTTTCCCCCAGTAATTTTTTGATAGCACATTGGCAGTAGAATGTGGAAAACTACCAGGCTCATTTTCTTTTTCCAAATATAAGACATAATATGTGATGCTATCAGGAAATGCACATTTAAACTTCTACACATCTCCTGACTGATATTTAAATGGTATAACCATCAAGTGCTCATCAGAGTGAAGCCTTACTCAAAACAGCTAAAATATCATAATGATTTAGAATTAAAAATATTGCTTGGGACCAGCATTGTGGCTCAGTGAGTTAAGTCACTCACTGTAATGCTAGTGTCTTATATCAGAGCCCCAGTTTGAGTCCCAAATGCTCTATTTCTAATCCAGTTATCTGCTAATGTACCTGGAAAAGCAGCAGAAGATGGTCCAAGTACTCGGGTCCCTGCCACACACATGGGAGATCCAGGAGTTCCTGGCTCCTGGATTCAGCGTGGCTCACCCCTGACCAGTGCAGCCATTTGGAAGTGAATGAGAGAATGGAAGATCTCATTCTCCCCCCACCCCATCACTTTGCCTTTCAAATAATAAAATAAATCATTTTTAAAAAAGAAAAAAACATTACAAAGACACAAGGCTAGACACCAGGAGTGAGACGGAAAGAACCACACACCGGTGTGGAAAGCACGTGTTTCGGGGCCAGTGTTGTAGCACAGCGAGTTCAGTCACCACTTGCAACACTGGCATCCCACAGTGGAGCGCTTGTTGCGTTCTGGCTACTCTGCTTCCAATCCAGCTTCCTGTTAATGTGCACGGGAAAGCAGCAGATTGCCTCAAGCATTTGGGCCCCTGCCACCATGTGGAAGACCTCAATGGAGTTCCAGACCTCTGGCTTTGGCCTAGCCCATCCCCGCCTACAGCAGGCATCTGGGGAGTGAACCAGCGAACAGAACATCTCTCTCTCTCTCTCTTGCTTTTTCAAACAAATAAATGTTAAAATATAACCACGTTACAGCACTAATTTTGTCGTGATTAGTTCTGCGACGCTGACTCAATCCTTCAGTTTTCGTGCCTCGGTTTCTTCGTCTGTAAAACGCCAGGACTAACTGCATCATCTCTCAGATTCCTTCTAACATCAATCACAGCCAGAGCTATGAAGACACGAAAAGATGGGATGCCTTCAAAATTTTTTTGATTTTCATTTTATTTGAAAGGTGTGTGTGTGTGTGTGTGTGTGTGTGTGAGAGAGAGAGAGAGAGAGAGACAGAGAGAGAGAGACAGAGAGAGAGAGAGACAGAGAGAGAAAATATCTTCCATTTGCTGGTTCACTTTCCATATGCCCCCAAAGGCCAGGCCTGGGCCAGCCCAAAGCCAGGAGGCCAGAACCGTATCTGGATTTCTCACTTAAGCTCTCATCACTGCCTCTCAAGACACACATGGGCAGGAAACTGGAAGGAAACAGAGTAGCCAGGACTTGAACCAGGCACTATGACAATGGGACACGGGTGTCCACACAGCAGTTTATTCTCTGTGCCACATGCCTAGTCCAAGTGTGAGGTCTGAAACTTCTGAACTACATCTTTTTGCTTTCTTTAATTTTTTAAAGATTTATTTATTATTTTATTTGAAAGGCAGAGTTACAGAGATGGAGAGACAGACATATCTTCCATCCACTAGTTTACCCTCCAAATGGCCAAAATGGCCAGAGCTAGGTCAGACCAAAGCCAGGAGCCAGGAGCTTCTTCTGGGTCTTCCATTTGGACGCAGGGGCCTGAGGACTTGGGCCATCTTCCATTGCTTTAGAAGGTGCATTAGCAGGGAGCTAATTCAGAAGTGGAGCAGCCAGCAGGTGAACCAGAGCCCACATGGGATGCTACACTACAGCGCTGGCCCCTCTGAACTGCATATTAAATCAGTATTAAGATTTCATTATTTTTATACCTGCCTCATGACTGTGTAATTACAATATTATATACAGCTTCCTAGACACACGCAAGGCTCCTCAAGCTCCTCATTCAGAAATATTAGAAAGAGAGGCCACTGAAATGCCCACCACGTGCAAGGCTAACCATCAGAATGTTTGGTAGTCAAAACAAATTATGAAATAATTAAATATATTATTTTTTAAAAGATTAATTTCTTTATTTGAACGACAGAGTGATGGAGGAGGGGGTAGAGACCCTCCACCCACCAGTTCACTCTCCAAATGCCTGCAACAGCCTGGTCTGAACCAGGATAAAGCTAGGGGCTAGGAACTCCACCCTGATCTCCCACATGAGTGGTAGAGGCCAAACACTTGGGCCATGATCTGTTGCCTCCCATGTGCAGAGCCAGAACCTGGACTGGAAGCCAGCAGCTGGTACTTGAACTGGCACCTTGATATGGGATACCTGCATTTCAAGTGGCAGCTTACCATGCTGCATCACAATGCCAGCCCATCAAAAATATCCTTGATGGCCGGCACCGCGGCTCACTAGGCTAATCCTCCGCCTTGCAGCGCCGGCACACCGGGTTCTAGTCCCAGTCGAGGTGCCGGACTCTGTCCCGGTTGCCCCTCTTCCAGGCCAGCTCTCTGCTGTGGCCAGGGAGTGCAGTGGAGGATGGCCGAGTACTTGGGCCCTGCACCCCATGGGAGACCAGGAGAAGCACCTGGCTCCTGCCATCGGATCAGTGCGGTGTGCCGGCCGCAGCACGCCAGCCGCGGCGGCCATTGGAGGGTGAACCAATGGCAAAGGAAGACCTTTCTCTCTGTCTCTCTCTCTCACTGTCCACTCTGCCTGCCAAAAAAAAAAATAATAATAAAATAAAATAAAAAAATATCCTTGAATAAGTTATTTCAGTATTTGGTTATCAACTGTGGTTTTGTTTTAAAAAGTGGGGCAGTTTATGGTAAATAACTGATATTCTTTCTCCAAGTGCTTTAAAAAGGCATCTCATTCACCTCTATTATTACTTTAAAGTCTTTGTTTAGAGGTGCAAATGTCACAGAAATCAAAAATTTCACATAACTTCTGGATTAACTGAAGTATATTCCTATTGTACTAATTTTCTTAGCATCAACCATCAACATATGGTTTAGCTATTTCCATCTTGGCAAAGAAAATATTTGCAAAAACAGAGAATTTTCTTTCTTCCTATCAGTCCAAGGCATCCATCTGCTGCCCTCGATCAAAACACACTTCCCTGTTCTTACACAGAAAAGTGGAATTTGAAAACACAACAGAACTGACCTGGTGATATTTATTTTAGAGGCTAACAGCGTGTTTCAGTAATACCTACCTACTTTTGAAACAATTTTATGGAGTAAATCCAAATCAGAGCTGCTGGGAAGAAAGGGATTTCCAGTGGCCATCTCAATAATCATACAGCCCAAAGCCCAGATATCCACAGGTCTGAAACACAGAATAAATTACTTTTTCATGCAGAAGGAACTAGTCTCAATTTTCTTTTTCATAAAAACACCAAGGATGAAGTGGTATCATTATCATAAAGTTTCACTGTGGACTCTTAGGTCAACTTCAGGATGCACAGTAAATATTCTCTTCTATTAATACCATTAAATAACTTGTATTTAAGTTGCATGGGAGGCAGCACTGTGGCACAGTGGGTAAAATGCCTGCCTGTAACACGGGCATCCCATATGGCATGAGTGAGTGCTCCAGCTGCTCCACTTCCAATTCAGCTCCCTGCTAATGACCTGGGAAAAGCATGTGTTGGGGCTCCTGCCATTCATGTGGGAGACCCAAATGAAGCTCCTCACTCCTGGCTTTGGTGTGGCCCAGAGCTGGCCACTGTGGCCATGTGGGGAATGAACCAGTGGATGGAAGATCTCTCTCTCTCTCTGCCTCTCCCTCTCTTTGTAACTCTTTCAAATTAAATATATCAATCTGTTTTTTAAAAAAGATTTATTTATTTATTTGAAAGTCAGAGCTACACAGAGAGAGGAGAGGCAGAGAGAGAGACAGACAGACAGACAGACAGAGTCTTCCATCCGATGGTTCACGCCATAGCTGGCCACAATGGCCAGAGCTGCGCTGATCCAAAGCCAGGAGCCAGGAGCTTCCTCTGGTCTCCCACGCGGGTGCAGGGGCCCAACAACCCAAGCTATCTTCCACTGCTTTTCCAGGCCACAGCAGAGAGCTGGATCGGAAGTGGAGCAGCCAGGTCTCAAACCAGCACCCACATGGGATGCCAACGCTTCAGGCCAGGATGTTAACCTGCTGCGCCACAAATATATCAATCTTTTTTTTTTTTTAATCTTTTTTTTTTTTTTTTTGACAGGCAGAGTGGACAGTGAGAGAGAGAGACAGAGAGAAAGGTCTTCCTTTTGCCGTTGGTTCATCCTCCAATGGCCGCCGCGGCCAGCACGCTGCGGCCGGCGCACCGCGCTGATCCGATGGCAGGAGCCAGGAGCCAGGTGCTTTTCCTGGTCTCCCATGGGGTGCAGGGCCCAAGCACCTGGGCCATCCTCCACTGCACTCCCTGGCCACAGCAGAGGGCTGGCCTGGAAGAGGGGCAACCGGGACAGAATCCGGCGCCCCGACCGGGACTAGAACCCGGTGTGCCGGCACCGCTAGGTGGAGGATTAGCCCAGTGAGCCGCGGCGCCGGCAAATATATCAATCTTTAAAAAGAAAAAAAAAAAACTGCATGAGAAGCCATGTGGCAGTCTGGATAAAAACACTTATATAAGAATATTTTAACAGATGACTTATCAATTAGATTAATCGAATACTAAAAATCTCACTTTTTAAAAAGATTTATTTATTTATTTGAAAGTCAGAGTTACACAGAGAGAGGAGAGGTAGAGAGCTAGAGAGAGAAAGAGAGAGGGGTCTTTCATCTGATGGTTCACTTCCCAGTTGGCCGCAACGGCTGCAGCTGTGCCAATCAGAAGCCAGGATTCAGGAGCTTCCTCTGGGTCTCCCACGTTGGTGCAGGGACCCAATGACTTGGGCCATCTCCACTGCTTTCCCAGGCCATAGCAGAGAGCTGGATGAAAAGTGGAGCAACTGGGACTATAACTGGTGCCCATATGGGATGCCGGCACTACAGGCCAGGGCGTTAACCCACTGCACCACAGCATCAGCCCCTAAAATCTCACATTTAAAAACTAAAAATCAGTGCCAGCATTGTGGCATAGCAGATTAAGCCTCTGCCTGCGACATGGCATCCCATATGGGTGCCGGTTCAAGACCCAGCTGCTCCACTTCCCATCTAGCTCCCTGATAATGAGCCTGGAAAGAAAGCACAAGATGCCCCATGCTCGGTTCCTGCCATACACGTGGAAGGCCTGCAGGAAGCTTCTGGCTCCTGGTTTCAGCCTGGCCGCAGATAGCCATTATGGTCATTTGTTGTGAACAGGCAGACGGAAGATCTCACTCTCTCTCTTCTTTATCTCTACCTTTCAAATCAATCAATCAATGTTAAAACAAGGTTCCAATTTTTAAAATGGGCAAAAGATATGAGCAGATACCAAACAAGTGGACAATAGGCAAATTAACAGATTCTGAGGGTTAAGCACTGTGGGACATCAGCATTCCATTTGGAGTGCCTAGGATCTAGTTCTGCCTCCGCTTCTGATCCACCTTCCTCCCTCCCTCCCTCCCTCCTTACCTCCCTCCCTCCCTTTCTTTCTTAAAAAAAGATTTATTTTATTTATTTGAAAGACAGAGTTACAGAGAGAGGTAGACACAGAGAGAGAGGTCTTCCATCCACTGGTTCACTCCCCAGATGGCTGCAATGGCCAGAGCTGTGCATATCCGAAGCCAGGAGCCAGGAGCTTCTTCTGGGTCTCCCACGTGGGTGCAGGGACCCAAGGACTTAGGCTGTCTTCTACTGCTTTCTCAGGCCTTAGCAGAGAGCTGGATCAGAAGTGGAGCAGCCGGGTCTCAAACCCGTGCCCATATGGGATGCCGGTGCTTCCGGCCAGGGAGTTAACCAGCTGCGCCACAGCACTAGCCCTGAAAATTGTTTTTTGAAAACCACTATCAGCACTTTGGCTTGCTCTCTTTCTGCCACCTTGGTTCTGCATTCCCTGCACAAAATGCCCAGTGAAGCCACTGAAACCAGGCCTTCTAGTACAGAGTTGCCACAGCCCTAGGCTGGAACCCTAGGGTCTCAAAAAGAATCCATCCTTGATCTTAGCCAAAAGGCCGAGAAGTGACTGGAACAGAATCTGACAGTGATGAATCAGTATTAGAGCTCACCATAGGGTGCAGGGCCCAAGGACTTGGGCCATCCTCCACTGCACTCCCGGGCCACAGCAGAGAGCTGGACTGGAAGAGGGGCAACTGGGACAGAATCCGGCGCCCCAACCGGGACTAGAACCCGGTGTGCCGGCGCCGCAAGGCAGAGGATTAGCCTAGTGAGCTAGGCTGGCTGGCTTTTTTTTTTTTTTTTAAGGATTTTATCTTGAGAACATGTCTGAAGTTGAAGGTGTATCTTAATGTATTGGGATATCCCAGAGAGTTTCATTTTTTGAGTGATGGCTTAGGAAAAAATATGAAGTAATCCACATGTGTGCATGTCAAGAATCAGGGAATTACATCTACCCAAGAGTAAACTGCTTGAAGAAATTACATTCTAAAGATTCTAGGTGGAATTTCGAAGTTATCATTATGTTATTCAAGTGAGGATTAACAGAGACCAGAAATTCTGGGCTGATTAGACAATAGCGAATTAAGCATCAGTTTGTTCAAAAGGGCTTGAAGATTTAAAAGAGCTAACTCGATGACTTTGATGGACAGCGGGAGGAATTGCAACATGGGACTTCCTGAAATAAAAATGCATTAACTTTAAACAACTTTGCCTTACATTATACAATATAAAAAATTAACTTTACACTAGCTTGTAAAAAAATTAAACCATGAAAGACTATTTATATCATATGAAAGATTTCATTCACACATCAGTTTCCAGAATGCGGAAATCCAGAAAGAGACAGTAGACCAGTGGTTGCTTACAGTTTGGAGAGAGAGGACAGGGTGTGACAGATGAAGGGTATTAGGATTTTTTTTTTAAGGTGAAGAAAACTTTCTAAAGTTGTACTGATGGTTGCATATATCCATGAATATACTAAAAATCACTGAGATTTAAACTTTAAATTGGTGAATTGTATTATGTATAAATTGTATCTCAACAAGGCTGATTTTTTCTTAAAAAAAAATATATATATATAAAGGCTGAATCTAGGTCTGAGGCAAAAACATGGAAAAGATGAGCCTGAGACATCTTACCAGTCAGGCAGCAAGGAAGCTATTAATAGCATATTCTAGATCATGCTAAAAGGACTTAAGAGCCACCTTAAAAAGAGTCCAATTGGGTAAAAAAAAAATTAAAAACTGAACTTCAAGTAATAATAATAATGTGTCAAGGCTAAAAACATGATACCCCAAAGCACGGTGCCTTGGTTTGCTATGCTGCGCACTGTGAACCGCAGGAGTTCATGTCCTCTCCTGGCCTCCTTTCTCCCTAAGGCACGTCACAAGAAACAGAAGTCCTCTCTCCCAAAGCAAACCATAGAACTTAGAAAGTTCACTCCTTGACCTACTTCCCCTGAAAACAGATAGTGGGACTCTCATTCCAGAAAAGTCCTCCCTTGGGAGAAGGGGAGGAATGTACACAAAGAAGAATCAGAATAAACAGGCCTCGGGGGCTTCGCCCACCTCGTGGTGACGGCCATTAGAGCAAGCCCTTTGTGTCCAATCTGGTTCTCCACGGCCGTCCACTGCTTACATCACACAGAGCTGAGAAGCAGCTTTCCCTAGGTCTCTGGGTTCTTATTTCTGAAGGTTCTCGTGTCATGTAAAACTTAAATAAATGATTGTTCTTAAGATTTATTTATTTATTTCAAAGGCAGAGTTACAGAGAGGGAAACACAGATCTTCCCAAATGGCGGAGGGGCTGGGGGCTAGGTCAGGCAGAAGCCAGAAGCCAGGAGCCAGGGGTTTCATACAGGTCTCTCGAGTGAGTGACAGGGGTCCAAGCCATCTTCTGTTGCTTTCCCAGGCACATCAGCAGGGAGCTGGATCAGAAGCGGAGCAAACAGGACTGGAAGAGGCAACAGCTTTTTTACCCTTCACCCACTACACTATGCAGTGGTGGGGGTGGGGATGGGGGCAGGAGGGAGCAGTTTTCTCTTGCTAATTAATTTGTCACAGAAGTACTGGCCATGGTCCTTAAGAAGGGTAGGCAAGAGTTACTACCTTTTAGTCCTACAACTGCAATACATGGAAACTCATTAAATACGTTTAAGTTCAAGAGTTCATACTGATAGTGTTAAAAGAGTAATTGGGAGCAAGTATTTGGTGTAATGGTTAAGTTGCCATTTGAAACAACTTCAACCCATACTGTAGTGCCTGGTTCAGGTACTGGCTAATCCAACTATGACC